CCTCCACCTTACCAAACATGATATCCTTCTCCAGTGACTGGTCCCTCCTGACAATATGTCCAAAGTATGAGAGACGAAGTTTGGCCATCCTCGCATCCAAGAAGCACTCGGGCTGCATTTCTTCCAACACAGATCCGTTGGTTCTTTTGGCAGCCCATGGCACTTTCAATATTCTCCTCCAACACCAGAACTCAAATGTATCAAGACTTCTACAGTCTTCCTTATTCACTGTCCAGCTTTCACATACATATGAGGTAACTGAAAATACCATGGCTTGGGTAAGGCGCACCTGCTCTTCAACACTTTAAAAAGGTCTTGGACAGCAGATTTGCCTAATGCAATACATCGTTTGATTTCTTGACTGTTGCTTCCATGGTGTTGATGGCTGATATAAGAATGAAGTCCTTGACAACTTCAATCTTTTCTCTGTTGATAAGAAAATTATTTATTGGTCCAGTGGTGAGGATTTTTGTTTTCTTTATATTGAGATGCAATTCAAACTGAAGGCTGTGCTCTTTGATCTTCATCAGTAAGTATTTTAAGTCCTCTTCACATTCAGCAAGCAAGGTTGTATCATCTGCCATCGCGCAGGTTGTTAATGAGTCTTCCTCCAATCCTGATGCCACATTTTTCTTCATATAACTCAGCTTCTAGGATTATTTGCTCAGCATACAGGTTGTATAAGTACGGTGAACGAATACAACAACCCTTTCCTAATTTTAAACCATTCAGTGTTCCCATGTTCTGTTCAAACAACTGCTTCTTGGTCCATGTACAGATTCCTCACGAGCACAATTAAGTGTTCCGGAATACTCATACTTCACAACGTTGTTCCATAGCTTGTCATGATCCACACAATCGAAAGCCTTTGCTAGTCAATAAAGCACAAGTAAACATCTTTCTGGTATTCTCTGCTTTCAGCAGATCCATTAGACATCAGTAAAGATATCCCTCATTCCATGCCCTCTTCTGAATCCTGCTTAAACCTCTGGAAGTTCTGTCAATGTATGCTTGCAGCCGTTTCCATGGTACCTTTAGTAAAACTTTACTTGCATGGGATATCAAA